AKRTGTGCTAAAGAAGTTGACCATATTCCATGGGTATGGGGCTGTGCCCCACGCATGCATGGGAGCTCCGCTATCAGTTAGGGAATATTTGGTTGATCTAATACCAAATTCTCTGAACTGCTTTCATAAGAACTGTATGGCTGATAGTGAGGACATTTACTATTGAGATCTTGGCAGTAAAAGGTTAAAAGCTGGTACATGAGAAGACCATACTGTTTGAATTTAGTCAAAATATGGAGAACAATTTAGGTGTTTATATTTACAGTACTTCTGTTCTACAGTTTTTGTTTTATATTCAACAAAATAAGGTTGGGCCTTTGGTCCCCACCATCAATATACCACTTTCTAAATAGAATGAAGTAAGGAGTAAAGGATGCTGTATTTAATACTTTAAGTAATATTAGTAATCATATTAAAAGAAAAGTTTCTGTTAGAAGATGAGTGATAAGTGTTCTCTTATCTGAAGTACATTTATCTTGCAGGTAATTTGTGCATCAAACTAAAAGAAATCATCAAGAGACTGGATGAAATTTGTTTTTTGTTGTTTTTTTTTTTACTCTATTGTTCTTGTTCAAACCAGACCCCAAGCTGCCATTTATGTCAAATTTGTTGAACTACCAGTTGATAAAACTCTTCTGACAAACCATAGTTAATCGAGGGGATTGGTTTCCCTTGATTAACTATGGACAAACATATTTTGATTCTATGCCTTGTAGCCTAGTAGTTATTTGACACCCACTTTCAGTCATACACTGGCTAAAACTCCCTGTGACCCCTCCCCCTGCCTATTTAGGTAATCTACAAAACTTGTAACTTCCACTATTATTTATTCACTTTCCAAATTATCAATATGAAATTGAGTGAGCTGCAAATGGCCACAGCTAGTCCAGGGTGGGTCAGTCATTATTAACCCCTTGACCCTTAAGGAGTGAGCAACATCCAATTTCTCCTTACAATATCACCCCTGAATCACACATTGAGGTTCTGGGAGTAAAGGAAAGGATCACCAACTGAACAAAATCTTGATTGTTACACAAATTCTCCTTGTTTGCACCTAAGGAAATGTATAGGGAACTGTATGGAGAATATACATGCTGATGTTAGGGTGTAAAGGGTCAAGATGAGATAACTTAACCTATCTAAGCAAATTGCCTAAACTAAACTGGATTCAGTATTAGGAAATACTTAAAATTAAACATATTTAACCACCCATAAATAGGTTAAAAAGAAAATTACTGATTAAAATGCTTGGATGTAATGTCACTTTTGTCATAATTTTTTCCGTATTTGAGTAATCCCCTTCGCCAGGATCCCATACAAAATATCATGGAGTTTTGTTGAAATTTTTTTTCGTGATATACTGTAGGAGTTTCAACCCTTGGCATGGTCGAGTTACCTTGACATTTGCAAAATGCTATGTACACACTATTGTAACACTATCACTATGTAAATTGGGCTGGCAATTTTGTTACACAATCCAGAAATGAAAGTTATTCCAGTTCTCAGGAATAGCCACTAAAGATATTTTAGGTTTATAATGCTATCTATTTTATTATTCTACTTGGCTTCAAATCAGTAGGCTATGTTTCTGGGAAGAGACCTGGAAACCAGTATAATCTTTCATTGGGTTCTTGGTCATCAACCCAAGCCATCTCTTCATGAACCATGTGATCCTAAATAATAAACAACAACAATAACTGAAACAGAACCAATGACAGGTGATCTCAAAACCCAAATCAGTTTTTATCCATACTAGCGACTACATTTCCCTTACCTGCTATGATAATTTAGTGTTGTTTGTTCTCATATGACCAGCAGACTTAATGATTTATTTGTAGGTAAGATGGAATCATTTTTGTCATTCCCCTGCTTTAGGAAGTTTGTTTGGGTTTATTTTGAGTTCTCATTGGCTCTTTGGGGCATTTTCCTTTCTTGTGATTGGTTGTGATTATTTTCAATTGATTTGGTTTTATGACGCTATCAAAAAGCACTCATTTATGTAGCTAAGTAACTCACCAAAACTCTCCTTGTGCGATCAGCTTCCCATCCTAGATCCCTCATTAAGGATGAAACAGAGGTGTATCCTGTACCCTGGAGAAACAAAAATTAATGAAGTGTTGGTTATGTATTAGGTAACAAATTTAGGAGCTCTCTGTCAGAAATGTGCTGATAGAAAATTATCTGTGTTACAAACATTATTGGTCATGGTGTGCCCAATCAAGACAAGAAATCTGAAAAATTACCATCAAATCACTCAAAAGAACAGTTTGTGTAGGAAATGCTAGAAAAAAAGGAGGAGAGGAAAAGATAAAGAGGGCATTACTGAAAAAAGCCAACTGTAAGGTGTGGTCAGGGGTGTCTCTGGCAAAGTATGGAAGCAGGGGGTGGGGGTGTCCAAGATAGAGACCAGCCATTTTGGCTCCCATGCTGAGAAGAAAAACTTTTTGATGATTAAATTTACAACATAATTAGCCAATTTATGAAAAGGTGTTCAGGAGAGAAAAGCAAGCTTTACCATTTTTTTTTTATTTGGCATGGTTGAGAAGACAAACCTGTGCCAGCTGAAGAGCAGCAGTGTGATCCATGCTCAGTTCTCCTGGCACTGACTGGACAAGTCGTTTGTTACCCACTGGTATGATCTGGAAGCCACTTCCCATAACATGCAGTTTTTTAATTGCACGTGCCAAATCATCCCTGGAATGAATAGGGTAGTAAAGTTAACCTTTGAGCTAAGTGAGCAACACTACCAAAACTTGATCTGGTTTCTGTAGCCTGAAGCCACTGGCAGTATTACAGCTCCCCATGGATGGGATGCTAACCTACACTGGTTATACTGTGCCCCTTCCCCTCCATGACAGTTAGCATGTTTTGCAATCCTAGGTGGAGAGAGGCATTGTAATGGTAAAATACTGGTAATGGTATTTTTGTCAAGAATACCAAAAAATGAACCTTTGAAGTCTCAGCCCTGGATGTCTTAATTTACAGTTCATCATTCTAACTGAAGTGCCCCTGCATCTCATAACATTAACATGGTTAATTCTTCTTTTAATTTGTCTCATCAAACTTACAACAAAAATTTTGCATTTATGCTGGTTAAAGTCAACTGAAGTTAAACATTAGTGAACTTCATTTCCATCATTTGATAAAACATCACACTCACAAGTGGTAAGTACTGGTAGTTAGCCAAAAATGACTGAGGGTAAAATTGCAACTCTTACTCAGATACGTCTTGTCTAGATTTGCTTGTCTTGAGAATTTTCTTGTGTAATTCATCTAGTGTCATTAGGCCTAAGATGTGAAAAGCCAGTTTTAATATAAAAATTCAAGCTATACATTCAAATACAAAGGGGGAGACAGCATTTCCTCATTTTTTTTCCTTGTAAGAGGCTCAAAAATATTTGGATATCAACAGTGTACAATTAAGTATAATCTGCAAATTCATTCCAGCTAACTTGATGCCAGCTATGTGTACATGTTGTATCACAAAGACAATTTTTAACATCTTGTCAGGATTGCACAAACCTCCATTCCGTGACCTTGTTGCCATGCAAATTTCAACAATTTGGATGCCAAGCTGGTTTAGAATAAGACAAACAGAACATGAAGGCAGGTTGATAACAATGTTACTATCCTTTACGTAAAGTCGTGGAAGAATTTGAGAGCAAATGGTTAGTAAGTCTAGATTCTGGATCACCATGCCATGGTTCCAGACTTGACTAGGGTCTCTGTGTCTTGTTTGTGAGGGATTGAAAGGTAACCATATAACCAGTATGAAATTTTATCAGTACATTAAACTGCACCAAAAAAGACAAAAAGAACAGATAGTGGTCTGAGATTTTGTCTCTTGTTCTGAGAACTGATTACCCACCTCATAATAAAAATCTCCAACACCTAAAAGCTCTGCCCAGAAACCTTTGCTTGCTATAAAGTAAGTGGCAGCAAATATGGTTTGAGAACTTAATGTTTCTTTAGTTAAGGTGGCATGACTTGGTTCTTGCTCTGTGTGTAGCTCTCTATTGTGTGTACAAGACACAAAAATATATGATCATCTCAAGGTTACTTATGCAACTTACAGTATTCAGCTGTTCTGTAGGTGGATGGAGCTAATCACTGAATAACTGTTTAACTTTTGTTTTGGTTGCTTCTCACTCAATTATATATTAGAAATGAAGTCTTAAGGGGTTATGTTATCTTACTAAGAAGCAAAACTGAAAAGGGACACAATATTAAGGGACCGACCAATACCGGGCAGTGGTTTTCAAAAAAGTGTGGTGTTTCAAAACTGAACCCCCCAAAAAAATTTTGGGGTAAAAATTATACCCCTCCCTTCCCAATTCTTGTTTGAAAAGCATACTCCCCCTCCTGAGGAGGCATAATTCTTTCCGTCCTTCCTTAGACAGACTTTTTTATTAGCCTGAGAAAAGCAGCTGTCCTTTTGCTCCCTTCATTTCCCTATGAAAGAAACGAAGGGAAACGAAGGAGCGAAAGGACAGCTGCTTTTCTCAGGCTAACTTTTTATTTTTTTGATTTAATATCTCGTTTATCTTTTCTCTCATTTATTGTTTGTACTATTTTACATTGTTTAAATTATTAAAGTTTAGCTGTTTGTGTCTCTTGCACGACCATGTCAAACAACCCTTTCCTCGGGACCTGAAATAGCTTCAAATTTTTAATCCTTTCCTTTTCCTCAACCACGGGATCGACGATGGATCACTCATGTCAAATTCCCTAGACTGCTGTTGCAGTGTCATAAAATTTGACCCCCTCATGTTTCACACCAGTGAAAAGTTTACCCTGTAAAGAGGGGCTTGTTTTAAATTTGTACCCCCCCTCCAAAACCACTGCCCCTCCTGGGACATAATAGTCCTTTTACAGTTGTGGGCTTGGTGGTCAAGCCTTTGAACAGGAATGAGGCTAAGGGTGACCTTGTTATGATACAGATGTTGCTGCTTTTCAAATGCAATTTCTTTGTTATCAAGCTAACTAGATACTGGTCTCTATCACAACAATGTCACCCTCAACCTCACTTCAAATCAAAGGCTTGGCAACTAAGTACACAACTGTAAAATGGTCTATTAACGATCGGTCCCTAAGAGCAAATCTTTACATAATGCTAGAAAACTTCAACAAAAACATATGCCAGCCCTGAGTTCACTTCATTATATTTTTAACTACCCAGCCAATGTTTTTGTATATATGGCTTACACGCAAGAGGGTCGACACCGATGCGAGCACACATCTGCTGAAAGTGGCCTCTAAACTCAGGGTTCTTCTTAATCTCTTGTTTGTACTTCCCAGCGAAGTCTTCTAGTGATGTCTTGAAGGAATCCAGCTGTTTTCCCATCTAAAAGCAAGGAGGCATGGCCAAAATTTTCTGAGAGAGGATAATTATTTTAGATACTTCGATAATGATACTAAAATGGAAGTCCAAAAAATTGTATTTAATTCAAATAATTGTTGCTTGGAGCTGATGGAGCCTGGGAGAGGAATCACTTGAATGATCAGAATCATATAAGGGTTATTACTTGGGATAGTTGAATGTCTGCTATTTCTGTCCCCTTTGTAGCATATTTCTCCTGCAAGAATGAGAGAAAATTTGCAGTTGACAAATAAAGACAGTGCCGAGTTACTGAGCAAAAGAGTTCAATTTTATCTGAAAGTCAGTTTTTCTAATAATTTTTTTGAAGGTTATACTGCAGTTACCCTCGCCAAACGTTGTCTGTTTATTGCACCCACTCCTCCCGGTCCTCTCCTCATCTTTATGACGATCTTTTCTCCTCCAAAAAAAATCAAACTTTGGGCATTTTTTAAGGTGATTATCAATTTGGTGTCACTTTGTGTGTTTTTCCGCCATCTTCAGCGGTAATTGGCAGAAGAAAAATTGGTAACAATGCCTTTCGGCCAGCGACACGTGCGCACTGATGCTCAGCAAAGCAACATGGCGGACGGTGAAGCAGTAATAAATCTCAAGAAACTGAAGGTATTTTGATTTATTTGGAATCTAAGATAGGTTGTACCATATGCAACGGATAAAATAGCTACAATACTTAGCTCTATCTAGGAAATAAGCAATTTTACTCGTGCGACATCAGTGTTTTAGGGTGCTTGACGTTTTGCTTTCTGTTGACTTTGATGATCATGAACGATGCATTCCATTGACCAAGTTTCTTGCACTTGAAACTACATACTGAATCATTTCTCCTCACTTGGAAGAATCAATCGCAAGTACAGCTGCTGTATTAGTTAAACAGTGACATTTTTTATATCATAATTGTCTTCACAGGTAGCTGAGTTGAAAAAGGAGCTTGCTGATCGCGGCCTCTCCACTAAGGGAAACAAAAGCGATTTACAAGAACGGCTAGAAAAATGTCTAGCAGATCAAGGTGGGTTGCTTTAGCTGTTCGTGTCAGTTGGTTACATGACGTTATGATAAACATTCTATTTCTGGTTTTCTGGTACTTTGACCCTTCACTCCTTGAAGAGACCAAAAAAATATCTTTCTTCTTCATTTTCACGTAGGAGAAAGACAGCTTAGGGACTTAAGGATATTGTTTAATTTAAAAACAGATTTTCAGAAATGAATTCATGAGAAATCTTTGGCCGACAGAGCTGAGAATTGATACTTAGATCAAGTGTGTAGATTGGTTTACATATACAACCCTGTTTTCATAAACCATTATTGTTTGTACTAACCCTTTGAATTTGATTGGTCAAGTTTGTTTTTTGTGCATAGTGCTTACAATGGTAGGAATTTGTAAAAAACAGCGTGTACAATTTGTATGCTGATTCCCACAGCCACAGCTCTACTATACAGACTATTAATTTTTATTGATCACCACAATACCAAATGATCCATGAGGTTTTTCCTTGACAAAAAATAAGTCACAAGAGCAAAAAAACCTGGGGGGGGGGGGTAGCAAAAGAAACCTTCAGTACTTGAGGCGGTGTGTCATCATGCATGGTAGGATTTTGAAAAGGAGAGGAACTAAACATATTTTGACTGTTTTTATTTGACGTTTGCTATTCAACAAAGCACTCCTGTCCACTGCCCTGATGATAGTATCTTGATACTCTCCATCAGGTATGGTGGTCAGCCAAGATGAAAGTGATGACATTGTTGATGAACACGATCCTGATGATGACCTAGATAATGATGCTGACGACTTGGATGATGTAGATGTTGGAGATGTTTCAGAACACCTTGAGGCTGAGGACTTGGACACAAAAGAGACAGAAGACGATAAAGAAGTAACTCAGGTAACAAAGATTGTTTTCAGTTGCCACAGCTTGCAATTGAAGAGTAAAATGGATGAACAATGTAATATTCCATTTTTATTACTTGACTCGGGCAGTCAGAGAGCCAATAACTAAAATCAACCAATCAAAATGCTCTATTGCCGGTCCAATATTCTCTAAATGTTGGACCGGGCACGGTCCCGAATGATACCACACCTGTGTCCCTTTGAACTTCAGTCATATAATAAATCTCTTATTAACCAAGCTTGCTCGCAACCGTACTGGAAGAATATCAGCTGTCAGTCTTGTTTGTATGGACTGAGCACAGCTCGGTCCGTACTGTCAAGACCTCGGGCCAATATTCTCCCAGTACAGCCCTCGCGCTTGGTTAATAAGATATACCCGGTATGTATTCAGATCTGTTGTTTCCTGGTTGCTCCCTACTGAATAAGTCACCATTGAATGGGCTGCCATGACTGACTAATCCACAGCCCTGGCCAAAGGATTTATTTGATTGACCCGCCATATAGAAATATGTTAGACCTAAAGTTTCTTATGATGCATTACATGGGATTCTGAGGACTTTGGATAAGAGTAAATAATAGGGCATAGCATATAAAGAAACTACCACAGACAGTTCTTCAGTTGTAATGATACCATTGTGGGTTTACATGTTTTGTCTGTAACTTTTCAGGAAGTTGCAGCTAATGAAACAGAGAAGAAAACAACAGTTGGTTCAGTGTAAGTGGGATGTCAATGGTGTTTATTTACTGAAGCATCAAGAAAGTTGAGAAATTTTCATGTTTTCCTTCTCACAGATGACTGACTGTCAGTCATTCGTAGCCAAGTTTGTATTTTGTCCTCACTTCCAGACCACCCCTTTATTTTTTACTTGTGAAAACAAGCCATTTTCTTTTTGGGGAAAGATGCATTCGATAAATATAAATGAAGTGATTATATTCCTTTAGTTATGTTCACTAGTGTGAAATACACTGCAGAGAGTGTTTGATACATGCATTCCTTCTATTTCTTAGCAAAAAGGTGCCCATTACACCTCCTGGAAAAGTTGCTGGTCAAGTAACATTAACTGATGCAGAGGTGCAGTATTGAAAGGATTAATTAGTTGCTGAATTACTCTATTAAGAAAAGTTGTACTTGGAAATTGCCTATAGCTAAATTATCAGTTGGTTATTTGCTTTTTACTAGAAAAAGTCAAAGAGATTAGAAAGATTTGGCATGTCTCCACCGGTGACAGATGTTGAGAAAAAACAGGCCAGAGCTCAGAGGTAAGTCAATAAAAAAGTAAAAAAACAAACAAAATTTACTTATTTTAGCAATTAAAATCCATATCTAATAATCCCTACCCACAAAATAGCAAAGCTAATCCAGGTGGGAGGGAAACAAACATTAAAATGAATTCTTCAATAACAGGTTTTACTGAACAGAGGAAATAACTAAGAGAGCACACACATCCATGTTCACTTAAAAACAGTACAATAAGTAACAGCTAAGCCAAGTAGTCAGTATAAAGTTGTAAACCTTTTGGTGTTCATAAGCAGGTCAGCAGAAAGTTTAAATTCATTTGTGCAAATAGTTATACCCATGGCCTATAACTCTTTTCAGTTACATTTGTCTAGGTGAAAATAATGGCTTACGATAGAAAAGTAAACCTATAGTCCCTTCTTTCCATATGACTTAGCATCCTTGATTATTTTTGCCTTTTTGTACATTTAGGTTTGGTTTTTCAAGCCCAGCCAGTAATGGAAGTGCTAAGAGTTCACCCATTGTTGGGGGAAAGGTAAACTCATCTTAAACACCCAAGTTGCAAATGGAGGTCTGGTGCTCAGGGGGCCTGAAAGGCTGCAACTGCAGTTGCACCCAAGGCACTAGAACACCTGATTGGCCTGCCAAACATGCCACCCAACCACAAGCCCCAACAGGCACCTGTCACACTAGAGCCAGAGGGCTTAGTGGAAGAGAAATAAGGAGACAAATAAATGAGATAGAAAAATAAATCCATGAACAAATATAACCAACTAAAAACCCCTAAACAAAGCAAAATGGGAAGAGAAGGAGGGTGGGAACACCAAAAAACTATCCTCATGGATGACAACGCCATGCTATCGTACAACCAATACAATGCAAGCACATGGGAGAACTAGCAGATGCACAGATAAAGGTAACCGCTGGACACAGCCTGCCCCAGGCCCTGAACAGCCACAATGTTACTACAACGCTATGGAATGCACACAAATGCCAGGCAAACGCCAATCGAGTGCTAATACGCTAACAGTATGCCAGCCAAATGCAACAGACCAGCTTTGCTCCCAGTTGTTGATTATGTTAAATTCCATTTAACAATATTTTAAATGTCTGTTGGGAACAATTTGTATTAGAACATAGCTAGCAGAGTCGC